CCGAGCGCGGAGAACGTCGAAGACGCCGTCACCTTACTCTCGTCGACGCCGAGCTGCTCAGAGACCACCCGGGCCACCATGCTCATGGTCTCGTGCGTGGCCACGCAGGCCCTTCGCCTGGCGGCCGAGGAGAAGGGCCCCTCCTTTCTCCGCCTCCCTCCTCCTCCATCCTCCATCCTCCTCCCTCCTCCTCGACCGCCATCATCTCTGTACTACGTGGCCTCCTCCTCCTCCTCCTCCTCCTCCTCCTCCTCCTCCTCCTCCTCCATCCTTCATCCATCCCTTTCGGGCGCCGTCCCGGTTCAGGAGGGCAGCTGCCATGCGCGCCCGCGGGCGCATTCGCTCCTGGCATGCCCCCGCTGGCCGCGATCACGAGGAAGACCTGGGTCCGCCCCTGAGGCTTAACCGCGCTGTTTTACGGCGGTTGGGCTATTGTGCGCGCGCGGTCCGCGCGCCTTGGGCGACCAATGCTCGCGCTCGGTCGCCGAGGTCAACGCGGCCCCTGTCTATGCGCCTGCGCTTCCGCCGCGCTGGTGGTGACCTCCAGTTTTCGTGCCCGAGGCCCCTGAGATTCAGTCGGACACGCTGCTCATACGGCCCTCGGCGTCGACGCGCCCAAGCGGCAGCACCCAAATGGGTTGGTCGAGCTCCTGGCCCCCTGGAGCTGCAGGCAGCGTGTCCGGTAGAGCGGGGGTGTGCTTGCGCCTCGCCGCAGCAGCCCCCACATCGCCCGGCGTCCCGCAGCAGCTGCTGAGAGTCTCGGCACGTCCCGGAGAGCTCCTCGGATAGTGCAGGCACGGGGTGTCTGATATTCTTGCGCAATGCGACACGACACTACGTTCAGGATGGACCCTTGGCTGACTTGGTACCAGGGCTCCGAGGACTTGATCTACCTCAAGCTGTGCAACAAATACGGTGTCCAGCCATCTCCTCGTCATGCGGGTCGTCCTCCTAATTGAATGGAGTTGGATGGTGGAGGCGGTCCTCTTCAATGACATGCCGCCCCAGCGGAGGCCTAACCCCTTGGGAGGTAGGGCTCCGTTCCTCTTGCCTCTCCCCTCTCTCTCCCTCCTGTTCTCCTTTTTTCTTGCCCTCCTCTTCCCTCTGTCTTTTTCTTCGGGGGTCGGAACCCCCCTTCCCCAGTGGTTGCGGGCCTCAATTTGGGGTGAGGCCGCCTAGGGCGTTGGGCCCCCCACCTGCGCCCTTTAGACCGTCTGTTGAGAGAGCAGCAAGGTTTGTGATTGCGTTCGTGTCGAGCTCGATCGTCGTTGGTCGACCCCTTTCGTTCTCCTCGCGGATTCATCCTGCTCTGCGCACCCACCCAACGCCTCGTCCCTGGTTCTTTTTAAGACGCCCCGGCTCCCCAGAGCCACTCTGAACCATGCAATTGGCTTACGTCTCGCGCCAAGCCCCTCGCACACGTACCCACACCATCCATTTCATGACCCCATGACCCCTCCTTCGCATACTCCCTGCAACACTCCGCCTCCCTCCTCTGTCTCATCAACTCTCCTCCTCCAGCCTCGCTCCTCAACCACCTACCCCCTCCTCCCTCCTCCCTCCTCACCGCCCCATTTCTCCCTGCTCCCCGCACCCTGCTCCTTCCTCCCACCGCCCTCATCCGCTGCCGCCCCTCCCTCCTCAACCTCGTCCGCTTCTAGCATGCTCTCCCTCCACCTCCACCTCCCGCCTCGGCCTGCCTTCTCCTCCCCCGCGGATGCGCTCCCCGACGACGACAGCGAAAAGGGCCGCCCACTCCCTCCCACCCGAAGGCGTCCAGAACAAATACGAAGGCTTTGTCACGCCCCCAAAAATCCCCATGGTAAAACTGACGGGGGAGGGTGGGGGGGGGGCGTGCCGGCTCTCTGAACTCGTCTTGCAATTCTGAAGGGGCCCAGGGAAACACACATAGATGGACACAAATCCCAGGATCCCCAGTACTTTTCAATCTTTTCGGGGTTTTCGTCTTCCCCTTCACTTCCCATCTGTTCGTGCTTTTGCTGGCAAGCGACGTTCACGTGTGTCTGTGTTCATGTTTCCCTCCTGACATTCGGCTGCTTCCAGGAGCCCCGAATCCAAACCAATGTGAATCTCTTGGAGAGCATGATTGTTAAATTCCGTCTGCTTCGCTGGCTTCCGCCCGAGGACCGGCATGTGTTTTTGCTTCCGAAGCCCTCCGCCGAGGAGGACGCGTCCATGACTCGATCGCCCTATTTGCGGGGCCCCTTCTGGAAGGCCCCGGGCGTTGGAGGTGGTTCCGTTTCGATCTGTGACCTCAATTCTCGGAGGAAGGCCAACCGAGACCTCGGCGGCCCTCCCGCAAGGCTCGTATCCACTCAAAATCTGTACCTGGATCCCTGCTGGGGCCCATCCTGACGCGTTTTTCCGAATTGTATCCAGCCTTGGCGACAAGACGCCCCTAGAAGGCTCCGGAATGACGAAAAACTTCAGGGAGGGCCCCTGAGATCCGACGTCGCGAAGAGATTCCAGCATCGAAGACATCACCGTCAGATCCACAGGCCCCGTCGTTCTGGCGCAATTTTCGAGCCGGATCGATCTGCGGGGGCCCCTGGGGCCCGAGATAGTGCGAAATCAGCCGGTGTGACAAAAAACTGCGACGCCCAGGTCCCAGGGGGCCGCCGTTGCCTCGACCGCCCCTCCTCCGCCCGCTTCCGCGTCACCCCTTCGCCTCCACGCCGCTCGCAGCTCCGCCCGCTGATCGGGCGGCGTGTGCTGCGGCGGCTCGGCCACACCTGCAGAGGCTGCGACGAGGGGCGCACGCGCGCGAGCGCTCACGATCATCTGAGCAGCCTCGAGCTCCCCCCTATCCCTGAGATTCCCACGCCCCAAGCGATGACAAACTCAGGGATGTGTCATCAGAACCTGCGATCGAGATATGTCAGGTCAGATTAGGGATGTGTCATCAGAAACTGGGGGCGATATTTCAGATCGCCCTCGAGAGAAGGCTGGTAACCATCGCCCCCTGGGGAAAACAAAAACGTAAGAAGGACGATAATTAGCGGTAAAGGGGGAAGAAGCGGATATGAGAACGAGGGCGCGAGACGAGGCGGGGATATATCCACATCCGCCGCCCTGGGAACCGACGTCCTGGGACCCCAGCGGGCGGTGGATATAGATAATTGTTGGCCCCAGGGGGTCCGAGTATATCCACATCCATGGTCTGCGAGGATCACTGAAAGTCGATCCCCAGGCGGTACGTGATGGGTAAATCACCGCCTCGGACAGGACCTAGCAGGACTTAGAACACGGACAACATCACGAGCCAGCGAGCCAGCCGAGAGCTCGACGAGCGTTAGGGGGCGCTGCACTGGCCCTGGGCCGACCCGGGCGACTCAGACTAGCGACAAAGCTAAAAGAGCTTTTCTGGCCCGTGACCAAGCCACCCCCAATCCTGCCCGAGGGCCACCCAGAAGGTGGGATTCTGGGTGGGAATGGGAACGGTATCACATAGTGCGAAGTTCTGGGCACCACCCCCCCGCCCGACACATGCAGTTGACACTTGCGATACGCAATCTCGCTGTACGCCATCTTAGGGCACGTTTTGTCGTGGGGCCTGTTGAGCTCCCCGAGTTGCCCCAGGGCGTCTGTGAGCCCCAGGGGCCGTCGGGGGATACGGCTGGCGCTGCAGAGATAGCGTGCAACACCGATCCCCGACGAGCACGCTGTTCCTGTGAGCTGCTCCCCCCGCGAGGGCGCATTCCGCGCACGCCATCCCCACGCGAACGAAGGGTTTTTTGCAATCCTAGGTTTTTTTGCAATCCTTCGGTTTTTTTGCAGTCCTTCGTTTTTTTTGCAATCCTTCGTTCAAAAGAGCCTCGCCGGTGCACGCTATCCCCCTGCCAAGGCATCCTCGGCGCACGCTGTCGCCCACGTGGGGGGAGCGCGCGTGTAAAATGAGCGGGCCGGCGGCGCCACATGTCGCACGCAGTCTCTACTAGACGCCAGACATGGGAAGCGTCCGTGGGGCAGGCCCGCCTCTTCCTTGGCGCGCCCTCTGCAGTGTTTTCTGGGTGGCCTCTGGTCTCCAGAATAAGGCGACGATATCTATACATATCCACTGCTCCCGGCCAGGCCAATCCTGGGCCCAAGAGCTGTGTATACGCCCTCCTGGCTTGGCCAGGGAGGCATATACACCGCTCCTGGGCCCAAGATGGGCCTGGCCAGGAGCAGTGGATATGCATAGATCTCGTCGCCCGACAGAGGGCCCGTCGGGTCGGGGTAGCTCGGCCGATGCTGCTCTCCTGGTGCGCGGGGCGCCGGCCTTCCCGACGAAGACGTCATCGGGTCGGCAGAGATCGGCCGACGGATCGGAAGGCATCGAACGTCGGCGCCCGACGGCCCGAGCCGAGGCCTGCGCAAGGAGAAGCCGGAGTCGGGATGCGGAGTCGAATCGGATCGAGCACCGAATTCGAATCGATTCGAGACGACGGGGCCCCTCCTCCCTCCTCCCCCCCCCTCCTCCCCCCTCCTCCCCCCTCCTCCCCCCCCCTCCTCCCCCCTCCTCCCCCTCTCCCCCCTCCTCCCCCCTCCTCCCCCCTGCTCCCCCCTGCTCCCCCCTGCTCCCCCCTGCTCCCCCCTGCTCCCCCCTTCCGGCGGTCGCAAGCTCGAATCGATTCGAGTGGACGGGGTCGAAAAGCCTCCGTCCGGTGGTGTGGGGCGGCCCTCCATGCTAACAGGGAACAGCAATTTGGGGTGCAACCCTGGGATATACGACGGGGTGCGTCCATCCTCCCTGGGGGTGCGTCCGAATACTGGGACCACCGCTGGGGCTGTGAAGTGGTTGGGTTGGTTATATTCCACATAGGGTAGTTTGGTTGGAGTTGTGGAGCCAGGTTATTATCAAGATCGCATCCACTTAGCAACGTGGTTTGCGACTAGTTGTTAACCTGGTTTCGTAAGTGCTTAACCTGGTTACAGATTGTTGGATGCGTGAAAAATATGTTGTCGTTCAGTGATTTCTATATAGTGGAGGTGTACTCGCAGGTGCCTTCCGCGGCTGTGGTCGTTGAAATTCTGCAACCCCCAAAAAGGAGAAGCAGGACGAATGAGGAGGAGGGCGGAGGGGGGGGGAGAGTGGCGTGCTGTTTTTTGAGCAAAGGTAAGGCAGTTCAAACATATGGCGCTCGCGGTGGGACGCGGTATTTATCTTCGCGTCGGCTCGTGGTACCAGCACATCGGCTTGGTCGAGCTGGTGGCCTCATTGAGGGGGTGGCGGAGGACTTCAACCTGCGCGCCAGTGATTTTGGTGGGTGAAACCGAATGGGATCACGAGTCGGCACAGGCGACTCGTCATATATACATAAGTGAAACGGATGAAAACATGAGGGAGGTTGAAGGAAGGAGGAGGAAGAAGGAGGAGGAGGAGCAGGACAAGGGTGGGAGGTTTGAGGGGGGAGGAGGAGGAGGAGGAGGAGGAGGAGGAGGAGGAGGAGGAGGAGAAGGAGGAGGAGAGGGAGGGAGGAGGAGGAGAGAGGAGGAGCGGAGAGGAGGAGGATGAGGAAGGGAGGAGGAGGAGGAGGAGGAGGAGGAAGGATGAGGAGGGGGAAGACCAGCGGCCATCAGAGCGCATTACATAACACCAGCCTTCGTCTGTTTTCGTCGTCGGTGTCGTAGTCGTCGCCGTCGCCGTCGTATCGTCGTAGATCGCTTGATTTGTTCAGTTGCCGAGCTCGGCGGATGGCTGGACGCGAGCATGTCGGCAGTGAAACGTTGGGTATTCCGCGGAAGCCTCCTGTCAGCGACGTCGTTATTCCAGTCTCCGAGCCCTTAGGCCTCTTATCATCCTCAATCTCCCCCCCCTCGAGTGGCAGGCTCGGCCTCGAAACCAGCGAGGTCTCTAGAGATCGAATGCGCTAGACAGAAAATCGTCGGCACCCCTATGTCCGCAAACTGACAACATGGATCACCTAGAGAGCGAGCGAGTTCCCCCCCCTGGTTTCCCGAGTATGGCGGGGAGGAGTTGAACGGTGGAGGAGGGAAGGATGAGGCGGAGAACGCGGAGGAGACGGAAGGTAGGGACAGGAGGAGGAGGAGGAGGAGGAGGAGGAGGAGGAGGAGGGAGCTGTCCCATCTTCCACCCCCTCGTCTAGACGAGGTCTGAAGCACGCAGCTTAAGCTTTGGCGGGTACATCACGTTCGAAATTGACCCCGTCGAAGCTCGAAAAAAAACACATGGCTCAAGGATTGCATCTGTCGGGGCTATCTCAGGAGAGTCCCGCACAACGCATTTAGCCGACGTGTCGCTATACTCACAGAGCTCCCATCTCGAGGCGATCGAAACTAGAGCCCCATCGATTGTTGCATGGAGGCGCACGTCCCCGAACAAAAAACCAGGCCCCCAATTGACAACGCGACGCAATCGCCGATGTGGACTGCCCGACTGCGCACATGGACAGCATTTGAAACTACTATGTCAGAACTGGGGCATAAAAGCAATGCAAAGATCAGCGCATCCCTCACCTTCTTGCTGGTCGGCTTGGGGCCCAACAAATCAACTCCCACAACCTTGTGAGCACGCAGCTCGTGTAGGTGTTGCACCGCGCATTCCTCCATAACTGCGCGATCGAAGTTGCTAGTGTTGTGTCGGCCCTGAGCACTGCGCTTCAATACTCTGTGCTTTCTCCCCATCAAGAATGTGCTCAGCAAGCACTTATGTCGCAACAGTTGCTGTGCAAGGCGGGAAACCCAATGGTCCTTGGGCTTCCACACCTGTAGGCCATACGCGGTCTCGCGCAGCTGGAAGTGCTTGGTAATGCCAGTGCCCAAGTTTGATGCCTTGAGGTGGCCGCTATTGGCTATACTCAGCATGCCAATCACGCCACAGGCAGCGAGCATGCTCCCCGACTTGGGGATGCAAGCGTTTTGTCGGCCTATCACAATGTCCCGCGCAAACTTCGCAATGATGGGTGCGAGGGAGGTATGTTCCGAAGCCGTCCCACTGAACTTGCCATCCGCGAAGCATTCACGCGCGTGGGCATATCCCCTGGGCCACTCCCACCTCCTGACGTATTCGTCCAATGCGGCGTAGTTGAGGTGGTATACCGATGTCTTCTGCAGGTAGAGGTCGACCTCCCGCTCGAATGCGCCTCCCACTAGATAGCAACGCATCCAGTCCCCTGCGAATATGCCACCATTCGTATGTCCAGCTCATCGTCTTGAAGAAGCCCGCCGGGTTCGCATCTGAAACCGAACAGTATTTCAAGCCGTTCTAGCTCAGACTTGTGGCCAGCATCTGCCTCGCGCCTGAGCCTCTTCTGGATCCCACGCAGCGGTTCGTTAGTGTGCACGTGGCACTTTGACACATCATGGCAATGGGCTGGTATGCAATATCCAGTGGCGTCTGGAAGTAGGGTCGAGATCGGCAGCGCGACGTTCTGGCTCAGGCAGCGCGGCTTAATGCCGCCCGCGCCCTTGCAGTGTGTCATAAATGTGTGGGCGCGCTCGTCTTGTACCAAAATGGACAAAGAACCGCTCACCACAACACGTTCACCTCCGATGTTCAAGTGTACACCATGTCTTAAGTCTGCGCCCGGTGGAAGCCCGAAAAACGCTTTCAGCGCCACTCTCGCAAAACCTGGCACTCCAACTGAAATCTGGTTCACCAACGAACTGCGAAGGCATGTCGCCGTAAACCACAGCAGTTCAGTCGAAAGCAAAGGCCATCCGAATTCCTTGATGCTCCAGTAGGGCGCGTGAAACTTGCGCTTGTTCCGATTCGACAAGACATTGCCTGGCGTGACCTCGTCACTATAAAATATGATGGGCAAAGTGCCGTGCCTGCGCACGGTCTCGAGAATCAGCTCCTTGAACGACTCAGCTTCCGCAGACGCCCTCTCCGAGAAACCAAGCGGATGCTGAATCCACACGGCCACATTGTCAGGATGTGCGGGGTCTGCCGAAGGGAGCTCATACTTGAACAGCGCGGGGCCGAAAGACGTGGAACCTGTTGCGATTGCCCGTCGCCGTCTAGCCTGAGTGGAAGCAGAGAACGCCTCAGGCAGACCCTCATCTCGGATCTGCTTTAGGACAGCTGCCAACGCAGCTTGCGCAAGGTGGGGATCTCTGCCAAAAGTTGAAACACAAGGCCTCTTCTTGGAAGGAGGCACGTCGAACACCTCAAGTTGCTGGAGCCAAAACGGCTATGGTCACACGGACGAGGATGGAGCGGGGCAGGGCGCGGGACGCGGTGGGGGAGCGTGTATCTATCAATTGCCGACGCTTCGCGATGGTCCAGAGGGCCCCCCATTCTAACGCCAGCGGAGCCGAGACTACATCTCCTCCACGACAAGGGTGCAAGGTAGCGGTAGGAGAAATCGGCTTCGGTTCACCGTCCAGGTTTTGCTATTTCGATTGGGTTTAATATCAGGCAGCGTGCTTATCCCAAACTCCTGGTTCACCAATGTTTTGTTGACAAAATCGGGGTCGCTTCTGGGCGGCCTGCAGAAAGGGCGCGGGGTCAGAAGCACGAGCAGCAGCACCACCAACATCAGTAATGGTGTGATCTAAAGCCTGCGCTATGCGATGCGATGCAATGCCTCTGTGTGTAAAGCTTGCGCTATGCGATGCGATGCTACGCGATATCATGTAAATCTTGCGCTATGCGATGCGATGCTATGCTTCAGGCGTCCGAGCGTTACGTGCCCTGTTACACCACGTGCCCCCCATGCCCAATTGTAGCAACATCCCCCCTTCGATCACCGATTCTCACAGGACGCCCCCTGCCCCCAGAATGCTCGAGGCTGGCCCTCTCGCGAGGATGTTGAGGAGGGGTAATTCGAGTAGCGCTGCGAGCGCAGAAAAACGCCCATCACCAGAGAGCCCGGCGTTTCGAAATCAACGCGAGGGTCCAGTCATTTAAAGCATACTTCATGCATGGCTCTGAGCGGAAAGGAGTATAGCACCGTGCACAGCATACCCATGCTGGATTGATCGGTGATATACAGAGCCCCCCCCCTATGAACGAATTCAGACCTGAGCCTGACCCTAGCTACGATGCTGTTCAAAAAAGTTGGCTGCCATGGCCCAAGCGGCCTTCGCAACCTCTGTAGCAGATGCTTTCGACAGGGATCCTCGCAGGGCCTGGGTTTTGGCCTGGTGGTAAATATTGCTACAGATCTGGTTCTTCGTGCGCTTCCCGAGGTGCGACTTGGTGAGAGAGCTCGAAACGTCGACGGTCACTTTCCCCTTCTTGGTGACCCCTGGGTCGGAGGAGACTGGACTGGCGGAGGAGGGTTTGGTGGGGTAGAGCAGGAGTGGAAGGAAAATGGCGAAGGAGATGAGGTTGCCTGTGCGACCACCAGCATGGCCAGGCGTGGGCGAGGGCGCGGCTTTGGCTTTCGCCTTGGCCTTGCCCTTCGCTTTCGCCTTAGCCTTGCTCTTGGCCTTGCCTTTGGCCTTGGGCTCGCTGGGCGGCTGCTTGCGCTTGTGCTTCGAGCCCGCAGCCCCTGCTGCCATGCTCATCTTAAGCTCCAGCGCCTCGGCATCGTCCACCTCCTTCTCGTCGGTGGACGGCGGCGCTGGCGCTGCGGGCGGCAGCGCTGGCGCTGCGGCAGCGCTGGCCCCTTCTGGCGACGAGGAGCTGTGCTCCTGCGAATCAGGCGAGCTTGCAGGCAACGGAATGGGGGTGTCACTGGCGCCCGCAGGAGAATGCGAGTCAGCAGTCTTCTGCTTCGTCTCAAAAATCGCCAGGGGCAGTCCATCGCCACGCTGGCGGTCCCGGTTGAACAAATCGGCGAACTGATTTGGGGAGGAGCCCCCCAAAAGTGCCGTTGCCGAAGAAGTTGTTCGCCATGCCGAACTGCTGGATGAACTGCTGCATCATCTCGAAGCCCACGCGCATCTGCTGGGGCGTCATGCCCATGAAGTCCATGAAGTTCCCCTGGCTCGTCTGGCGGGCGAGCTGGAGGGGCCCTGGCGTAGACGCAGGCTGGTGTGCCAGGCTGTTGGCCTTCATCGTGGAGTGGTTGCTCCTGCACCCCATGACTGCCAGAAGCCTGTCGAAAAATGGACTTGTTGAACACGGCAGGGGGCTTCGCGGCTTTGGACCCCTGGTAGGCGAACTCGATAACGGCAGGGTCCAGCTCGGATGGGTCATTGGGATATTCATTGCGGTGCTCGAAAGGCCACGTAGTTCCCCTGCCCAGCGCCTTGATATTCGACTGCACCTGCTTCTGTCAGTTCTCCAGAGTTGAAGGCGCTGTGATTAAGGGGTCGAAGTCGACGCACGCGCTCGATATGAGGGCGACGCTCTTTGCCTGCACCTTCTCGCACGGGCAAGTCAGACCAAGCCGCCACATGCGACCCGATGCAACCATCAGTACGGCGGCCATGGACAGGTTCACGCCGCTCAGTGCAATCCAGTCGGGCTCGTTGAAGAAGAGCCCGGTCTCTGAAATTTCCGAGGACCTGTAGACGATTCCGTTGAGCAAGCAGCATTCGAGAGCGATGTAGCAATGCGGGTCTTGTCATGCGGAGACCATGGCCCTTTGGCAACCTCGTCCGTGACGGCTGCAGCGATTTCCACGGTGACGGGGCCGCGCTGTTGGATGCTGACCACGAGGGCGTAGGCCTGCAACGTCAGGGGCTGGTCCTTGGAGAGCCCCGCATTCGCCTGCGCCGAGGCGAACTTAACGCGCTGTCTGACGTCATTGATTAGGCTGTCAGCGACACCCATGCCTAAGTGACCTGGTCGGGGTGGCAGCAACCCTGAAGCAAAGTACAGCAACGAAGAACTTGAGCCAAAAAGGCTACGGAGGCGGAAGGATGATCATGAACAGGAGGCGTTGCATGGCCAAGTTCTCAGGGAGGGGGGAGGCGATTGGGCTCAGAGTTTGCATAAAGTGCGCCCCCCCCCCCCCCCCACACACACACACACACCACACGCGCGCCCCACCCCACCCCCACCCCCGCCCCACCCCCCACAAGAAACAACGATCAGGTCGGCTCGACGCTCCGAATCCTAAGGTCGTTAGCAACAAGTCTATGGACATGTTGCATATCCCCTTGAGGTTCTTAGCGGAATGCGCACCACACACAGAAGCCCAAACGATGCGCGCACGTGCGATCACCGAGCCGCGCGCGGCTCACGGCTGAAAGTGCGCGCCCCCAGCCAGGGTTGAGCAGAATTGTGTTCGACCCTGGTCAGGGTCGAACGCAATTGTGCTCAACCCTGGCCAGGTGCGAGCGCGCCCCATGTGATGCGCTCGCACCTGGCCAGGTTCGAGCGCAATTGCCCTCGACCCTGGCCGGGGTCGAGCACACTCAGAGGTCAGAACGCCTCCCACACGGATCGAACGATTTGAGATGATAGAAATCAGCGCTGTTGCTTTGAATTCTAAGGCGAATCCAGCAGTGTTGACGTCGTTCAAACTTGGATTTCAAGGCGAACCCAGCAGCGTTGGCATCACGCTGAGCCGTTTCACATGTTTTAATAAGGGTAACCCCTTTGCGCACAACGCCAAAAGCGTTACAGTTGAGAGAATAAAATGGCCAGGTAGGAGAATATCATACTGCATTGTTCGCGTAGCGCGTGCAATTGACCAGGGACACATGCAAACTCAAGTGAGGGAAGACGGCATTTCACACACATACACACACACTCACACACACACCTCGCGTGACCTAGTTGTCGTGCGTTGGGCGCCCCAGACAGATCAGAGTAACACACTCCTGGGCCCCTAGGGCGGCCTAGAAACCCTATAGCTCGTGCTGAGAAGAACTTCTCACGCACCCCTCATGCTATACTCGCGCGCAGTTGTATGTACAAGCTTGAGATCACTGGTGCCGCCAGCTCATTCAGCGTCGGAACCCCCGCCTGCTCCGCGCTTCCTGGCGCCTTTCAGGTTGCCGCTGGAGGTTGGGACGCAAGCGGCAGGAGAAGCTACAAGACGGACGCGGGCAGGAGCGCGAGACAGAGGGGAGGGATGAGGAGGAAGAGAAAGAGGAGGAATAGTGGGGGGCTGGGTCGGAGGGGGAGGGGAGGGGGACAGGCGGGGCACGTGGAGCAGGGTGAGGGGACAAAGACACCGATTCACGCCGGGGCGAAGCAGGTGGGACAAAGGCAAAGACTGGTCCGACCGACTCACTCAAGGGTGGGCCCTTGGATCATATCCTTCCCTTCGTCCTCCCATGCTTCGCTCCCAAACGCGAGTCGGAACGGTGCCATCGGGGGGCCCCGTGCGGATGTCAAAGAAGAATTTCTCCAACACCATCGCGATGGCATCGGCATTCGTCTGCGTCTCTGCGCGGGTGCTCCCGTGCACCTTGTTCGATTTCAAAAAAAACCCAATTAGACTTCTCCTGGGAGTAGTAGCGGGACCCGAGGGCCGAGCGATGCGCCATCCAGAACACATTCTTGCGGGTGATATTAGGTACAAATGTCGAAGCAATACTATGTACAAACGTCGAAGCAATATCCTGGTGGCTCTGCGGGGCCTTCGGGGGGAGGAGGATGTCCCCCTCGGTAAATTCGATCACGAATTTACTCCTGAAATACGGCGCTGTGTGCACGCTCACCTCGTGCGCAACCCCATCCGCGTCAGTCGCAGTGATAGTGCACCAGCCTGTGAGATCCCAACGAGATTGCAGGCCCCCCATCCGCCCCCCCCCCCCCTCCCCCCCCTTCCCTCCCTCCTCCTCCCTCTCCTCCCCCCCCTTCCCCCTGCGCCTCCTCCTTCTCTTCCTCCGTCGCCTCCCCCTCCCATCTCCCTCCCTGTCCATCCGTCCTCATCTGCCCCATGCCCCAGTTGCTTCCCCTCCTCATCCGCCCACCCCCTCACCCCCTGTCGGATCGGAGGCCTGCGATCTCGTCGGCCATGGCCTCGCGCGCCCTCTTGCGAAGGGGGGCGCCGTCGTTCGCCGAGTCGTCGGCCATGCCGTCGCCAGCAGCATTCAACCTCGCCATGCACTCCTCGGGTTTCCCAATCCTCAGGCGCTGGAGTTCATCGAGCATCTTGAAGCTCCCCCCGCACAGCGCGCTGAACCTGGCGCCCCCCTTGTTGGCAGCCACCCGCAGCCTGCCCCACCGAGTGGTCACTTTGGCCGCCCACGAGTTCCCAATCGTCGGAGTAGCGGACTTCGAGTTCCAAGCGTAATCCATACTGATGGATACCATGCTGGCCAACTGCGACAGTCGCGGGTCGAGGAAAGTGCTGAGTACTGCAGCCGACTGACGGCTAAGAAACCTCGCTTCGAACCAAAGTTGCGACGAGCAGAGATGACGACGAGACGGGGTTGAGACTGGGAGGGGGGCGCGTGGATATCCATTGCATCGCATAGCTTGCGCCCAACAGCTTGCGCCACATGGGGTAAGTAAGACAAGTCTTAATATGCCGTTCAGGCAGCACGCTCTCGCAGACCATACAGGCTACACCACAGTGGTTTTACTCGCATTCGCTTCACCTCGCAACGCTTGCGCCACACAGCTTGCGCCCCATGCGCTGGACATGGCCGCATGAGCGCTTCGGGCGTGCTGCCAGCCTCGGCGCCCCCTGGCGACGGGGGGGGGGTGGGGGGGGGGGGGGGGGGGGTTGGGGGGGGGTTGTTGCCCTCCTGGCGGTCCACCTCCCACCCCTTCGCCCCCCACGTTACCCTGCCCCCCCCCCCCCCCCCCCCCCATTCTCATCCTCGCTCCTCCTTTAGGCTCTGCCAAGCACTTTTGCTACAACTGCGTCATGCGCAATCTCGAACACGGCTGTGAAGTCCAACGAGACCACGCGTGCATGGCTTCAAAAAGCCACGACCTCTGCGGGCAGAGGCGAGCTCGTGGCAATCCCGCATGCCACCGACAATCGCGCGAAAAGAATTGGCCCGCTGCCACTGGCAAGCGCTGGCGGTCACCCACCCCCCTCCTGTCCTCTGCACCTCCCACGGGATGCACACGCGCAAGCCGCAACCAAAAACGAGCGTCGACGCGGCGAGGCCCCGCGAGTCAAATCGATGGATGCGCGAGCCTAAACGGCTCAACCTACTTCCTCGATGTCCTGGGCTGGTTCGACGCAGAAGCCCCACGCTTCTTCGGACTGGGCATCTTCTCAGAAGTGCCAGCCCCCTGACGTGTTGGAGGGGCTGCGTCAGTGGCCTCGCCGCGAAACAAAATTGCACTCTTCTGTATCTCTGCAGGGTTCGCAAGCGCAGGGATCGCAACGGTGGTCTTGTGACCTGCAGACTTCCAGCTAGAGCAACTGGAAATAACCTCGACCTTGTGAGAACGTGGAAACAGATTGGCAACCGGCTCATCTCCAGCAGCCTCAGGGACGCACCAGTATGGCACTACCAGCGCATCCCTGTCCTCGTCTTTCTTAATCTGGCTACCACCATCAGCACAGGGGACCGCGAGAGCAGGCATTGCATACACGGCGTGGCCACATTAACCGACGGCGTCAAGGGCACGATAACCAGCTGGCTCTTCTTAAAGCTCTTCATTGCCACAACAGAAACAACAGCAGGTTTCGGCTCTGTCGTGCAAATCGCCTTCACATCGACCGAATGCTCGTGCGCAGCAGAAGAATCGCAGAGGGCCTGCTGGACCATGGCCTTGTCGCGGCCGAGCGCGATCTCCTTCGCGTCCTGGCGCGGCGCGGAAGGGGGGGTAACGGGGGCGCGACCATTCCACGCACTTATCCTCTTCTTCCTCTTCCTTCTCCGTCTTCCCTCTTTTCGCCGCCCTCCTCCTCCATGCAGAGCCCTATCTTCCTTCTCCCCTTTCTCATCCTCATCCTCCTCCCCCTTCCTCCTACTCTCATCTCGGCCCCTCCTCGGTCCCCCCTCTCCTCCCGCTCCTCGTCGCCCTCGCCCTTCTCCCCCCCCCCCCCCTCCCCTTCTCCTCCCCCCCCCCCCCCCCCCCCCCCCCCGCTTCTCATCCCCGCGGCCGCGCCGCGGTCCACGTCCAGAGCAGTCGCTAACGACTGGCTGATGTCGAAGCTCAGCTGCTCGTAGAACGGGATCGCCTGGCATCGGGGGGGGGGGGTCAGCTCGAACCGA